ATATATAACTGTTTTTTTCTGTGCAGAGAACTTCCTCTGCTATAATTTTTTTCAAATAAATATATCAAAGCTCCTCAGTTGAAAACACTAATCTCACTCTCCGCTCATGAGAGGTCACCACACCACCACAGTTAAAAAAAATCCCGCAGGATCTTTGTTTTCTGCAAAGTTGACTGAATTCTGCTCAAATATTTTCATTTTAGGATGATGTCGACAGAGAGCGCCAACAGTTTCACGCTTATTGGAGATGCATCTGACGGGGGCACCATGGAAAACCTTAGTCGTAGACTGAAGGTGATATTTGGGAGTGAATACTGACTCAGCATCACACCATTGTTATCCTTTTATTGAATTTCCTGTAGTTTGGGAGCCTTTTGCTATTTTTACATATTTGTGCTTTATCTGCCATTCATATGTGCTCAGGTAACCAGCGACCTGTTCGACATCATGTCCGGCCAAACAGATGTGGATCATCCTCTGTGCGAGGAATGCACCGACACTCTGCTGGATCACCTGGACACGCAGCTCAACATTACAGAGAACGAGTGCCAGAATTACAAGTGTGATCAAAAATAGTGTCTGTGTGACTTTGTGGCACGTTAAAGAAACCCTTCAAAGGGCTGAATTTGGTGGTTTGGGCCTTTCCTCAGGCAGTGTCTGGAGCTGCTGTCAAACCTACAAGCAGAAGAAGAGGAGACTCTGCTGAAAGAGCTGCAGCAGCTGAAAGAGGAGGAGGACACCCTGGTCAAAGAGCTGGAGGCTGTGGAGGAGCAGAGGGCTGCCGTGGCCCAGGACCTGTCCCAGACCAGGGTCCAGTCTCAGCAGCTGGACAAAGAGGAGCTTCAGTGAGTAACTCGGGTCAGCGGAGTGCACGGAGAGACTCTGTTTTGTAAAACACATATTTGCCCTCGCTTTGCTTTAAGGTACCAAAAGGAGTACAGCGAGTTCAAACGGCAGCAGCTGGAGCTCGACGACGAGCTGAAAAGCGTGGACAACCAGATGCGCTACTGCCAGATTCAGCTGGATCGACTGAAGAAAACCAATGTTTTCAATGCAACTTTTCATATCTGGTACAGATTTATTCTTTTTTTTTCCCCCATCTATACATAAATTTTGATGCGACGTCATACTAATGGACAGGTGGCTTCTCCAGGCACAGCGGCCAGTTTGGTACCATCAACAACTTCCGTCTGGGTCGACTTCCCAGCGTCCCCGTGGAGTGGCACGAGATCAACGCAGCCTGGGGGCAGACGGTGCTGCTGCTTCATGCCCTGGCCAATAAAATGGGGCTGCGATTTCAGAGGTAAATCTGATTATTTAGCTTTAACTCAGTAAATATATTTGTTTTGGCCTTTAACAGAAATAACATTCCTCTCGTGTCTTCAGATACCGTCTTGTCCCGTATGGAAACCACTCCTACTTAGAGTCACTGACAGATAAGTCAAAGGTAATACCTAAAGACGTGCCATCTCCAGTTCTCCTCTCAGAGTTTCAGTTATTGTGTGAATGCTTCACAGTATTSACACAATGAATCATTTTTTCTTCTGTATGTTTTTCGGCATATAACTCGTTCCACAATTTTTGCGGAATTTCAACAATTCATAAATCAAAACATTCAGCTCATTCATATGAGGGGTGCTATGACTTTTGGTGTTTGAGATATTTATACTTTTTTAGCTTTTTCACTTTTTTAACGACTTTTTTGCTGTTGAAAATTAATGGAGCTGTTTTCAACATCCTTAAAATAATTTTAAATGTTTCTAAATCTGTACAGCACCTGACAAATTTTGTATACTTTTTTCACTTTCTTGTGCTAATTTTTGCTACTTTTTTTGCAAATTTTAGTTTTTATCTGCTATTTCAGCTACAATTCTGCTTCTTTCTACTATTCTGCTTTTTCTGCTTTTTTCTGCTACTTTGTGCTATTTATGCTTCTCATAGATTTTTTTCTGCTATATTCAACTATTTGCTGTAGTTTTAGCTCATGTTTAGCTGCTATTAGCTAAGGTTAGCTTTTCTAAGCTAACTACAAATTCTTTGTAGCTATTAAAACTTTTTTCAGCTAAGGTTAACAAACTTGTGCTGCTTGTGTTAAAATAA